AATTAATATTTGCCTCTACTTATATATATTTGAAATTTATAACTACAATCTTTCAATTGGTCTCATAACAAGTATCAATAAATTTACTATTTTTTCTCTTTACTATACAAATATTAAAACTATTATAGATACTTATAGATACAATAATCACAATAGACTCTTATAGGATGAACTTTATACTTATAAAAATATATATCCACAGGTTCAATTACAAAATGATTTAAGAATATATTATTAAAAAATTAAACTATTATAGAAAACTAGGGCTCCTAACAATACCACTTCGATACCACTTCAATACTAGTTTGATACTTAAATTTATTATAAAAACATATGAGTAGGTCACAACCCATATATTAAATTTACTATAGATCAGTACCATTTCGATACCAGTTCGATACCAGTTCGGTACTTTTTCGGAATCCTATAGAAAACTAACTTCCAGTAACTAACTTAACACTTCAATTCCAAGTCTTTCTTAATAATAGAGTAGTTGATTTGGTCAAATCCAAAAAAATACAATCTAACAGCAAATAGTTAAAGGTCAATACTATCAAATCCTATCATGTATTATAGAAAGAAATATTACAAATACCAAATCAACATGGACAACAATATGTAACAATTATTTATTTTTCTTAAATAATATTAGTGAACTACTTTTTCTTCTTTTTACTTTATTATTATTTTTGTCATATATTATAATAACTAGACTTTTTACAACTCTATCAACTTTTATAACAACTATTATCTTCTTCTTTAAAAAAAGAATTATTGTTCAAAAATTTAATACAACTATACATTACAAATTAAATATCAATTCATAATTATAATTCTGGTCTGTTTTATTAAAAACCATATAAGAAATTCCTATCAACTCAACAATCAAGTATTAACTTCAAATTAAACCAAACCTAAAATTAATGTATCAATCACCAAGTTAAAATTATATATAGCAGATATATTAGAATTATAAACTCTTAATAAAATAATAAAATAATAAAACCATTGCATTTGAATAGATTATAAAAAAAAACACACAAGAGCTTTTTACTCCAGATTCTACTAACAGCTTATTAATTTTATAAACATTTCCAGAAACACATAATACCTCACCATTAATTAACTATATATATGTTATTAGCATTACACAATAGATTAAATTTATTAATTACTATATTAACTTCTTTAATATTTTTTAAGTCAATCAGTAATCTATAAAATTACTTCATATATCATACTGAAACTTATTTGTAAAGCCAACTAAGAAAAAGTGATCAACTAAAATTCAAAAGCTTCTCAGTATTTAAAACTAAACTTATTGAAAATCAACTATCTATTAGAATTAAACTTTATAAGAGATATCCAAGCCTGTATAATAATAACCTCTACCTACAATATGAAGCTTATTCAAAAGATCAAATGCATATTTTTTTATATGTTCATGTCCTATCAACAATCAGAAGAAAAAAAAAACTTATAAATCATTTAAACAAGAATTCAGTTCAAGTGAAAGATACTAAAAACATATTTCTATCAATATTTATCACAATATTAATATCTGATATAGTAAATCTTACACTTGGCAACTTATAATCTCTACTGAACAAAACTCAAAACAATAAAGTTAATTTGTCAAATAAGGCACTTAAATTCTCTACAAAGTTTAAAAAGAATAATCAATAACTGCTATTACATTACTAAAATCAGTAATTAAATAAAAAAAACCATAGTCACAAAAACAATAATACAAAATTTTATAAAATACTTAATATATTAATAATTAATAATAATCTAATTAATAAATCTATTTTTACTTTTACAATTGTATTATTATTTTGAATTATATTAGCTATTCAGGACTGTTAGTATAAACTTCTTTACTTGATACTAATAGAAAGTTACAATAGGCTAGAATTAATTTACTTATATAAAGATTTTTAATATAATAGCTATAAACTCTTGTTTAATAAAAGTTTTATATTTAATGTCTATTTACAATTTCAAAAAAAAAAGTTATTTAATATTATTTTAATAGATTTTTAAATATTAATAATTTTATATTATATTATTTATAGTTTTTTTAATTATTCATAAAATATAAAAACATTAGAATAATAAGAATAAATATTGACTTTAAATCTATGGTTCTATAGTATAGTGATCAGTACTTCACAGGTTAAATTACAAGTTACTAATTTAATTTCAGGTAAAAGTAATTAAATAAAACCTATATAATATCTGATATTATAATTTGTTATATATTATTTTTCATGTAAAGCTATTTCATATACTAATCCAGTGGATGTTGAAATTGCAATCTTCAGAAAAGATGTTATAGCATAACAATCATTTGAATAGTGCTACAATAATCACTAGAAGCAAGTCTACAGTGGTTGAGCAATATGATAAGTCAAAAAATATATAATTAACTTTCTTAATTAAAATTTTTCTTGAATTTAGACTATAGACTGGACTGTATTCTATCCTAATTAAATTCCGTATCTCTTTTTTCAATAGTTATTAAAGCTATAATCTAGGCTATTTCAAATATAAAACCTAATTAGTTTGAAAAACAACCAGCTGCAGGTAGTAAAAAGGATTGTATCTCTCTAATAGATGTTTTAGGTTAAAAGAATATGATCTAAAGTCTAAATGATAAGATGAAAAGACACTTGAACTAATATCCTGAATCAAGTTACCTTTGAACAAAGCTAAACTATATAGGTTAAGTAATTTAAACTAGTAATGAAATTTCTATATCCTATGGGTTTCTGTTTAATATCATATAGAAAATAATTAAAGGTGATAGGTTTTTGGATGCTGGAAGTAAGGTTAGATATAAGGAATAATTTATATAGAGTATATAATATATTGACTTACATGAGTTCTTGCTGCAAATATAATTGATATAAAATACTTATTAATAAAAAGTACACAGTTTCACACTTTTATTTTAAAAAAAAAATACTAGCTTTTATTATTTATTATTTTATTTTTTATTATAAGTATATAATTTTTATAATTCTGAAAATTGAAATTAAATAAATTCATATAGATTTGCATAAGGTTTGAAACACTATAAAAAATAATAATGAATTATAAATCATATATTAAATTTAATATAAACCTGAGAATCAAGAATCAAATTATTGGAATCTTTAATAATTTTCAAAGATTAATAAGATTATATATATTTTATTAAGTTTATATCTTTACTTAATTATTTATATATAAAAATTTTCTATATAAAAAAGATCTTTTTTTGAAGAATAGTAAAGTTATCTAGCTTCTCTCTAATTTAATAAAGTTTTTCTTTATTTATAATAAATAATATCTTCTTTATAACCTTTTTAGCATGCAATATTATATTAAGCTAAATATTTTACCAATATAAATTTTTCTGTTTTTTTTTATTTTTTCTGTTTTTATTTTTTAGAATCCTGAAATTATATTGGAATAACAATCTTGATAAAAGGCTGGCTGTAATATTTTGAATTGATAATAACATTTTTTTAGAAAGGAGCAATTTATACATTCTCATAATTATATTTAAAGGTTTCTGGTTATTAACAGATAGCCATATAATGTTAATAAGTTTAGCTTTAGTATAATATTGTTTTCTAATATTTGTAATATTGTCTTTTATAAATAATTAAACATAAGTGATGTATAGCCTGTTTAAGAGTAAATAATAATAATAATAATAAAGGATAGATTGTTTTGAACTCATTTTTTAAAGAAAAAAATGTAAAAAAAATACATATTTTTTTTTTAATAATATAAATTTTAAGTGAATCAACTTGACCAATTTTTTTTAAAAATTTTCTTGTTTAAATTTTAGCAATTAATTATATTATTCATTCATTTATTATTTAAATTTATTAATTTTTGTTATCTAAACTTATTAAATTTATTATTTGTTATCTAAATTTGCTTATTTTATTATTCAAATTATTATATTTTCATTAGTTAAATTTATTAAATTTGGTCACTTTATTATCTTAATTTTATTGTTTAGGCAATTTTTACGGCTTAAGATTTCCGAGTTTTATATATTCGTGAAAAGTGATCCGGGAATATGGAATTATTATGGCTGCTGTAAGTATGTTACATAAATATGTACGTTTCATGTCTTTGCCCTAGTATTCGAAAGCAATTAGAAACAATCAATAGAAATAAGAAACCGATATCGACTCATTTTTTTCCTATTATTTTTTCGTAATAATCCGGAACGACTTATAAAAGGATATTTAATAGATATCTAGCATGTGATATTCTAATTGAGCACAGTACATTTGTTTATTAGGTCAATAACGTTTTAGGGTTTGTTCGTTGCAAAAATCAAAGTATGCATTATCATTTCTTATATCTTGTGCATGTTAGTCATTCTACTTACCCAGATCAAAATTACTATTATAAACGGATCATACTTTGTTTCTCTAGCCAATAACGCTGTGTAATACGTCTTGAGGAGTTTATTTTTCTCTTTAACACTATATTATTTGATTATTTTTAAAAGGTTGAATTTTCTGTTTTTCTCGAGTAAATTAGTAAAAATCGCATATAAAGTGTTTCAATCAAATAACTTATTCATCGAAAAGCTATTAATTACAACATTGAGTTTAAATTTCAAAATCCTTTTCATGCCTTGGAAAAATCTAAGCGGGTGGCCTGTAAAGAAATCTGGAGCTATCTGTACTGAATTTCACATATAGTGCACCAATCAAATAAAATAAAGTTTGCATAAAACTTTTTTCGGATAAAAATATTTGACGTAATTGCACAGATTTATAGAAGGTTTTGATTTTCGAGAAGAATCGTTTTTTTATAAAAGATGTGGTTTGGTAGCCCTTAAAGTCAAATATTGATAATAATCATCTTTTTTTACAAAAGGCACGTAGATAATATATACGTTACCTTGTTTTGCTCTTAAAGCTTTTTTATCGTCAAAATACCTTCTTTTTATTCTTCGATTATTTATAAACATAAACCGAAAAATGGAATCTATCCATAATTACTCTTTTGGAAATGTTGTTTTTGAAATAGCAAAATTTGCTGGAAAGGCGACATTGACAACAGTAGCAGGTGCATCTGTTGTCGCCACGGGAGGATTGGCCGCTCCTCTCATAGGTATTAGTGTTTACGCGGGTGGAAAAATTGTAAAGGAAATCTCTAAAGACTGTCATAATAAGATTTTAGAAAATGTAGGAGATATAATTGAAGATATTGGTATTGATGGTATCACCAGTGGGCTATTCAGTTTAGGAACAAAGGTTTTTTGTTATCATGCAGTTCAAGAAGTTACTAGTCATGGTCAAGAAATGATTGATGATGTAAAAGTTATGATCAATACTGGTGAAGCAATACAAGTTGGAAGTGAAGTATATGACGTTTATGAAGAAAATAAGGACGAAATCGAATGTCTATTCACATATTATCATGATACTCACAAAATAAAGACCAGCTTCGATGATAAATGTCCGATTTGCATAGACTGTTGTTTAAGAATGCAGTAT